TTTCTAAAATTTTAAAAGTTTGCTCTTAATAGAAAGTCTTTTGTTCATCGTTATTTAAAGGATAATTATAAACTAATGGTAGGAATGTGTTCTTGTGAGGTGTCTTAGTACGGGTGTAAGAGAATATAAAGCTCAATGAACTATTCGTAAACCGTTCGTTTATTAAGTTTTTTTGGGAGGATAAATTTAGGTAAATACAAGAGTATTTGTTCAAAGACTTTCAACCAATTGACAATAAATATTCATACCCCTGATATACATGATACTCGAACCAGGATTTCAAGGGATAATAGCAAGTCCATTAACCACTGAGGTCGTGTGGTTCGTACTATTCATTTATTAATTTAAATAAACGAGTGTGAATTAATATTTTTGTGTTCGTTTAATAAACGAACAAACATAGACAAAGGTGTGTTCAATTCGTTTATATTCGCGAACAAGATCATTTATCGACTCATTTATCAGCTCATTTATCCGGTTCTCATTTTCTTTTTCTTTTTTAACATTCTAAATGTTGACGAAGATAAGGACTAAATTGAACACAATTTGCACTTTAAAGTTCAAACTATGAAATCTAAGGAGCTTAAGGTTAACGACGCAATTTTACTATTTTTCTTTAACTTGCAAATCAAAAGATAAAAAGAGAATGTTGATTGCCGAGGGGACTCGAATCATATCAACAAATATGTTCGTGAACACTCCACAAATCGAACAAGAATACATTCAAAAATAAATAAACGAACACAAAAACAATCTTATTCGTTCAAACTCGTTGCACCTTACGTATCCGTTTGAAAAAACAAACCATATTGCTCACTTATGCGGACTGATCCAGGGACGATCTCCCAAAATTACATCTAGAGTCATCATTCTTATAATATAGATAACAAAACCTTTGACTTGACCACATTTTAAGCCCCACACAATATTATATACTCACACACTACCTACAAGATCGTTATCGTACAACTCTTTCCTTACCACTCCACGCCTACACCAACTGGTACCAACTTCATCTAACGCAATTTCATCAAACCCTAAAAGTACATACCCTATATGTGAACTCTTCAAAGAGCTCCATACAAAGATTGTAGAGACAAGTAAAGAACTACATTAATATTCAAAGTTTGTTGGAATTATATGACAATGGACATCTTCCAACAAGACTTAACAAACAAAATTTTCATGTATAACTACTCTACATACTTATATTAGTAAAATAGTTTATTTTGGGTCAACTTTGGAGATGTGGCGATTCTAGGCACACAAGCAAACCTTATATTTGCGACAAGTAATCACCTTTACATGTGTCAAGTATCTTGGGATCGAGTAAATTATTTTATTAATCATTGGTTCAAAAAGGAAATCAACGTGATAAACCAATGCATGAAGTTTCAGCGACCGAGGTCAAGGAGCGAGTGACACTTACAGCCACATATGTTATGGCGAATGAGGATCGAAACCTATGAGCCGAAATCTAGGTTTATTATTGGTCTTCAAATCATACGATGAGAGCTGGCGTGTGTCGTCATGGTAAACGTTTCTTAAGCTTATTTGTTGTTTTTTTCCCCTACTTTATCTAGAAGGTGAGATGTTTCTGGACGGGTAATGGGGAGACAGGACTTTAGTTAATTGTGATTTAAGATTATGTCTTACAAAATCACACAATATTAAAAGGTGACAAGATCTTGGTTGTGTCGTATAAGTTAGGGACTTTTGTTGTATCTTTTTTCAGATTTTTTTTCGGTAAATAGCATATTGACGATTAAATTTTTATTTATCACAGCCTTTAAATTTTGTCTTTTGAATTGTTACCTTCATTGATATGATTGTTATTAATTTTATTACTGATTAAATCTATTATGTGAAGATCAAGTCTATTTATCTTATCAACATATAAATATTTATCATCACTCTGTGGATGTCACTATACCACCAACATCGGAGGAAGATATGTAAACTAATATACAAAATAAAAAAAAAGGAACACTCTATTTTCTTAGAATCTAAATTCTCTTTATTGATCATTTTATTCTTCCGCTCATCATCTCTATTTTCGATCAATTTAATCTTACCTGATATAAATTAAGGATTTAATTAAAAAAATAGAGAATGAGTATTATAACAATTATCCATAAATTTATAAGAAATTACACTATTACCCTTGGGTCAGGTCGGAATTTTTTCACTCTCCACCCAAACCGACCCGGCCTCACCCTTTTATAAAATTCAATCCGACCCAATCGGAACCTAAAATTCTTTTTAAAAAATATTATTTTATCGGATAGAATCGAAATCCGTCGATTTCGGATTAAATTCTCGTCCCTACTCCTACTCCCTATATACGACATTCACTGTTTTTTTTCTTTCAAAACCACCGCTCAAACTAAAAGGATAAACTTAGGGGGTTATTAAATTGAGTTAATAATCCCCTAAGCTAATTTAAAATTTTTGTTAAAAGTTAATTGGATTTATTATAATATTATGATATTGATTTGATTTGATCTTTTTTTAATCATATACATTACACACAATTTTTTTTATATTCTTTTGCACGTGTAAGTAATATTTGTTGTTTTATTTAATATATTTATAAAATTATTTTTCAAAGAAGGGATTTTAAGAAAAAAACAACTATTGATGAAAGTGTAAAGGAGTCAAAGAATTATTGGAAAGAAATAGTTTGCAGAGTTGTGATCGAAGGATCAAATTGAATAATATATAAAAGTTAAGGATTAAATTGAAAAGAGATTTTTTTTGAAACACTAGTATTCTAAGATTGAGGAGTATGAGATTCAAAATTGGTAAAGATAAACTTGAATGAAGGATAAATTGAAAAAAGAATTAGAAAAATTAGAGACCAAAAAATAAAATAAAAAATTCAAACTCAATCCAAGTTTAAATTTAAATTAAAATGTGACAACTAATTCAAATTAACTTGAATAATTTAAAAAAAATTGTTAAAGCCAAATCAAATTATTTCATCCAATTATTTAAGGCATGACGATAAAATTACCCTTAATGTTTGCAAAAATTGTCACTTTTCCCCATATCTTTTTTTTTTGAATTATTTTAGCCCCTAACATTTTATTTTGAAGCAAAATGTCCCATGAGTGGATGGAAAACCGTAATTGACTAACAATCAATGCTTCCTATTGATGTGGTAGGTCTATGTGTGATGCTAGATTATAAAAAAATATTTTTAAATATATTTTTACAAGTGTATATGTAATTAATTATAACTATAGTTTACCCTAAAATAATTTTTTGATGAAGTGAAATCATACATGGATTTACCACGTCCGTATGAAACATTGACAGTTAGTCAACTAACCGTTTTCGTCCAATCAGGGGACATTTTGTTCCAAAATGAAACGTTGGGGGCTAAAATACTCCAAAAAATAATAAGGGACAAATTAATCATTTATGCAAATGTTAAGGGTAATTTTATTATTATGCCATTATTTAAGTTCCATGATAAAATTAGTTTTATTGTCAATACAATATGAAACTGATAAAATTAGTATCAAAATCTTTTTGAGTGAGAGAAGTTTTCGTGGCAATTTCCTTCAATGTAATGAAACGCTGTCAACTTTTCGTCTATCGTGGATCGTGTACTTAACTAACCTTACCCACCGATCATCGTCAACTTTAAGACGGCAATATTTCTCTACACTCGATGTGATCCATGGCTTCAAAATTCAAAGGACCTATAACATGTATTCAACCAATCAACTTGAGAACAAAATGGTGGCATGCCATTTTCAAAATGTTTACGTGATCAAGTCTTAAACACCTCAAGTAACAAATCAAATATACATATACCTTTCTCAACAAATAATAAATTAATTGATTGAAATTAGAAATATCAAAGGACCAACTTTTTTTAAAAAAATAATCACAATTAATTTTGATTTTAGTATGATCATTATCCTATTTCCTAAAAAATAATTAAATAGAATATACGATGTCATTACTTTCTAAAGTTAATGACTTCCCATTTTTCTTTCTAATGTACAATTAATATCCCCACCTCTTTAAGATATGATGCACTCGTTATGGACATTGTCACAGTTGTCCATCCCGTCTATCCCACTCATTTGGGATTTCAACATAGAATCGTACAACCAAATAATTGTTCTAATCAGTGGTGAATCCATAAAAAATTCGTAGATCAAACTAATATAAACATAATAAAATTTACATCTAAAATAATCTTTATATATTTTTAATGTAAAAATATAGTGTGTATATATATATATATATATATATATATATATATATATATATTAAATCTAAAAAGAGTATATTAATTGGACTAAGATAATTTTCTTGACATAATTCATACATATTTTTTTATTTAGGGTAAACTAACTATTTGGTCACCCCACATATTACTTCATTTATATTTTGGTCATTTAACTACTATTTTTTTCAAAACCATAGCCAACCTTACGATTTGATTCTATTTTGATCACCTACCATTAAAAAAGTAAGAACGATGTTAATATGATATTTTTTAATTATTTTTCAATCATGACGTGAAATTATCTTATGATGATATGTCAACATTAACGTTGATCTTTTAAAGACTAGTGACTAAAACAGAAACAAAATATAACATTAAGTATGATTTAAAATAAATAATAATTAAGTGACTAAAACAGAAACTAAATAATAAATGGGTTAACGAAAAAATAATTTATCTTTTTTTAGCATGGGGCCGTAGCCTAGGTAAGCCTAAGCTTAGATATGTCCCGGTTCTAATATCATTTATTAAAAAACTATATTTTCAAAGGGTGGAAAATACATAAGAAAATTTTAAGTTATTACCGTGCCGTAAATTGATGGATAAATAATCAAATAGTCGCCTTTGTAAACGTGTGATACGTAGAGAAGAAGCTATATGTGTCAGAAGGCCGGCGCCAAATCATATTGACTTCAATGATGCTACCCCTTCTTGTTTCCAACTCTCTGTATATAAATGGAGCTTATTCTTCCCCTTAGGATCGACAGCTTACACTTTAACTTCTCCATTGTTAACAGCACCATCCGCTTCATACTTGCTTTGGAAACTTGTTATAATCCAATGGGAAGAACTCCTTGCTGTGACAAAAATGGCCTCAAGAAAGGTCCCTGGACTCAAGAAGAAGACCTTAAACTCACCAACTATATTCAGGTTCATGGACCTGGAAACTGGCGTACTCTCCCTAGGAATGCTGGTATGCATTTGTGTTTCTCTAATATTGTCAGCACACACATGTCACTTGATTAATTGTTGTTTATTTGAACTGTTTAGGGCTCCAAAGATGTGGGAAGAGTTGTCGTCTCAGATGGACAAACTACCTAAGACCTGATATCAAGAGAGGCAGATTCTCCTTTGAAGAAGAAGAAACTATAATTCAACTGCACAGTGTTTTGGGGAACAAGTAGGTTAATCATGTTCATATAATGATATGATGTTAGAGTTTTCGAGGGTTTACTGAATTTTGTTCTGGATTGAATATCAGGTGGTCGGTCATTGCCGGTCGCTTGCCGGGAAGGACAGACAACGAGATCAAGAATTACTGGAACACTCATATAAGGAAAAGGCTTTTGAGAAATGGAATCGATCCGGTGACACATGCTCCACGGCTTGATTTTCTTGAACTTTCTTCCATTCTCGGCTTGACTTTGTGCAGCCAATCTGTTGTTAACGCGTCCAACTTGTTAGGTGCACAAACTTTCCTAAATCCTCAGCTGCTAAGCCTAGCCAACACGATCCTGTCTTTGAAGCAAGAAAACCCAGAATCAGTGCTGCAATATCTCAACCAAAACCAGCTCTGCACCACGTCTGCCGTTCCATGTACGTCGACGATGATAAACCAAACAGGACTCATGCAGGAAGGGTTTTCTTCCGACATGACAAACTTGAGCTACCCAAATTCCCAAGAAAATTTGACGTCTTCTACTTTAACTAATGCATTTATCGGGCAACCAAACACAACAGTTCCCGTTCTGTCTGAAACTCCGAACATGCAATATTCACTGGATGGCAATCAGAATTATAGCTTTGATTCTGTGAGGTCGACGCCGACATCAAGTCCGACACCTTTGCATTCATCATCTACGTACATGAACAGGTGCAGTACCGATGACGATATAGAAAGCTTCAGCAGCTTGTTTAAATTTGAAATTCCTGAGGGTTTGGATATCCATGATTTTATGTAAATATTATACACTTAATGTTTTGGATTTGTAAACTAAATGCACCATCATTGTTTATAAATTTCGTTCTCTTTTTTTCCAGAGCTTAAGATTTTGGACTTAATGATACAGTATGATAATGTCAACTTTTACAAGCTGATGATGGATGAATTACGTATTCTATTAATCTTGCATAAAGATAGCTAATTATGAAAAAAATTACTGTTAAACCCGTAAGAATGCCAACGCAATCACATTCTAGAAGCATATTTGCCCCCAGCATCGCTATCATTACTTAATCAATCAATCATTATGATTTTCTTTCGGTCATCTTCATCCTTAAGCGATGACAAGTAATTCCGTCACCGAAAGTGCAGTCTTGTCTTTTGCATGTAATTGTTCGATCAATATTTCGTGAAGAGTTTAATCTCTATTTATTTGTGTTTTATTTATAAAATTAATAATATTTTTAAAACTCGTTCATCAAGTAAATTATGTTTACAATGGGATTTTATCGCAACTTCATTTAATTTATCGTTTGATGCGTATTTAAAACTAATGTGTACTCTGGTTATTATATAATTAAATAATTAATGATATTATCGTTTGTATTTATTTTATTTTATCTTATCTTATTTATTTATTAATAAAGATAAATATTAAAATAACATGTGATTTTTTATTAAATGTGCAATGTTATGTATGAACATTGATTCTTTGTTATTCTATATATGATGTTTTGATTTTATTTAAGTTTCACAAATAATTAAAACTGTATTTACGTTTACACACAACTAATTATATTTACGCAATATAAAAAAATAAATGAACGTATTTTTTGAAAGGGATAAAGTATCTCTCAATTCACTCAGATTAATAAATTATAATAATTTTTCAAACACACTACAATTGCGTAATTACATCCAATTACACCCACAAATGATTATAGTGTAAAAAATACTTATATGACTATATAATTATAATTTCAACTATTAAATATGATAAAAATAATTAAAATATAATTATATTTTTCATATAATGATACATAAGATTCCAAACACACTCTTAATCTGAATTAATTAATAATAATATAATATTAAAAATTTTATTGAACATAATATTGGATAGGTAGTTTTCTTTATTTATTTTTCTTAACATGAGTATTCTCTCAATATTTATGTGTCGTCATCATCTTTACTTTTGATTTTTGTTTAGCTTGTAGCTATACCAATTTTAATATTGGTTATCGACCGCCGATGATTATTATTTTTCTTGTTCTATTTTATGTTATGTGATTTTCTTTATTGAGTTTCTTTTTTTAATAAGAAACTATGTCCTTGTGACACATTTTTCTTTGCTCTTGTAGTACGTTCCTTATAAATTATGGTACATTTTTCGTATACCTCTATGGTTGTGTTGGTAATCGTACAAAGATCCTCACGACATTTGTTTGTTAGTGGTTACGTATTGTCAGATCATCTCTTTGGTAAAAGGTTTTTTATTAATATAATCATTTTTATGAAAGTTGTTGGATTCTTTCGATGTTAAACGTTAAAGGTTCCGTTTTTTTATATCTTTGGGTATAATATTTGTGTTTTATGTATGTATGTATTTTTTTTATTATCCCTAATTTTCTCTTCAATTTCGTTATAATTTTATTTTATTATATTATTTTTATTAATGAAATTTAATTATCTTTGTTCAAATTCAAGGTGGATGCGTTTAATAAACAGTGTGAGAATGAGTATTTTTTTTTGAAATAGGGTAATTTGTATTATAGAAATTTACAAAGTAAACCACCTCAAGTACCTCGTTAAAAAACCTCCTTAACCCTAAATAGAGGAAAAATAGTATATCTTGAGGTGAAAATGATCAAACACAAGAAAGCACTAACATCAAAGAGGACAAAACCCAAACCACGACCCAACACAAACAACACCAACATATTCCAAACAGTAAGTGAGAATAAAAATCAGAAGAACAACAACACTGATCTAAATCAAACCCCGTAGCACTGGGATGTAACCGAAACAACAACAGAAACTGATTCACCAAAATCTGCTAAAACACAACTACTTACACTGGAGCACAACTATAAATTCTTCGTTCTTCAATCGAGCTCGCCAAACGTAGCAGCAATGGACTAAAACCAAATTGCAATCACTCACTAACAAGAGATAAACACATCAGCAGAACATAAAAACAAAAGCCACTCAATATCAAAGCCTGAATAAGGAGCTGGAATATCATAAAACAACTACAAACGAATGAGACAACTAATCAAACCACACAAGCTTCTCCCATAAGAGCTAAAAGCAGGATCTGAAAAACAGAAACAATGAAGCAAAAGCCAAGAGGAGAAAACCAAATCGCTTCAGCCGAAAACACTAGATTTCGAAGTTAAACATAGAAACAAGTCACAAACAACCCACCAGTTAAGCCTCACCATCAACCACCACTAATAATAATAGACTCCAAACTTCAAAAAAAATTAGGGCATAAGGGATCAATACCGGGCAAAAGAATTTAACCCACCCCTATCCGATAGCTCAAACGACAACACTCTCTCAAGCACCTACTCTCACGAAGCTGAAAAATCCACACCCAGAGCTTCACCAATTGCTAAAGTTGCTTCAGCTTCCAGAGATATTCCCACCACAGCTTACACTTTCGATCATCGAGACTCTAGGATTATGCAACACACTCCGGCCTTTACTTTCGACTACTTCCTGTTGAAACTATGACTATCTTGGAAGCTCTAACATAAACCCGATTAACCCCCTAAAAGCGTGAAAGAATAACGAACCAATCGAAGAATTTGAGAGATCTTGATTAAAACCTCCTCCAATGCTTGGATAGAAAACACCACTTCAAAAGGCACGTACTGAAGCCTGGAAATAAGAAAAAGATTGGGCCAACCACAACTGCTTTGGAGCTATAATATTTTGATCATCCCAAAACTTGCTTCAGCAAGCTTAATAAAAGGCCCAACGTTTGGCAAAAACAGGACTTCATGAAACCCCACTACACCAGCTGCGAAGATTTCCACGTTGATATCCTCATGCACCACTCTTACTGCCATCATTCCACTAACGATAATATTCCTCTGACACAACGCCTTGATCTGCGCATCCCCCATACCACCTATCTCGAGACCAGTTCTTCTACACATGCCTCTACGCAACCAGAAACGACCACCAAACCATCGACTACTGCATGCCACGCTCCGCCATTGACTAAGGATCCATCCATGAAAGCACGAATATCTTAAAAATGCTGAACTTCCAAAGGAAACAACTACCAAAATATAGAAGCTGCCAGTAATCTCAGACCAGTACTAAAACGGCCATCAACTGACACAATGGGTACGACGAATAAACTATAACCGACAGCCACCTCATTCCCCACAACAAGAAACTCGAAACCAGCATCTGCAGCATGACCCTCCTGCAACCTAGAAAAAATAACTCATCGCCGACAACTGTTGTAGCATCCCAAAATACGGGTTAGTGACTAAATCGTAAAACTTCAGAGTTTGGTAATTAAAGTAGGATATTTGAATAGTTCAATGATTTATTCGGAAGTATTTTCTGAAGGTATTAGTAATTAAAGGAATTAAAGGGCAAAATGGTCATTTAACCATTAAATGAATTAAAATGTGATATGTTGGGGATAAATACGGGGGAAATGGATAAGAAGAAATATCTAGAGATTATTCTTCTTCTCCTCTTTGTTCTTCCATACGAGAGAGCCATAACATAAGGTGAGTTTTCTGATTTGTTAGTTATTTGTTAAATTAAAGGTTAGGTTTTGATCATTAGATGATAACTAAGCTTAAGGAAAGCTTAAGTTGTCTTATGATCAAAAGATGAAGAAATTATAAAAGATTAAAGGAAACGGGATTTTATATGAAATTATGGAAAAGAGTTGATAAGTTGAATTTGAAGTTAAATTTGACTTGTCATCATGTTAATTAAGGAATATGAAGTGTTAGAATTGTATTTAGAACATATTGAAATTTGAGTATGATTCTTGAATTACATATGAAGGATAGGATTTTGAAGTTATAGATGATTTTCATGGATATAAGTTGGTTTAAGTAATGGTAGTTGAGTTTAATGACATGGTAGGGGTTTAAAATAGAAGAATTGAATGAAGAATTGATGATTTTCGGGCTTAAAATGTAATTTCTGGGTAGAGGGAACCGATACCCTATGAATGGGAATCGATTCCCCCTCTTGAACGAAAAATTCCAGTATGTTCAGGGGGTATCGATTCCCCTGGGGGGGTATCGATTCCCCCTAAATGAAAAATGGAATTTGGTTCTTTAATTTGGTTTAAGTTGTTAACATCAAGTTTAAGGTTTAGGCTTCTGATAGTTGTTTTGAAATGTTATATTTATGTAGATATTGAGTCTAAACAAGTTCCGGAATAATCAAAGGATTAGGATCGAATCAAAGCAAATAAGGCTAAGGTGAGTGCAATTTTAATTGTACTTATATTATTGAACGAACATTGGCTTGCGATGAGCTAGTGATGGAGTTACTATGGTAAGAAGTGACTCCTAAAATGTTATTTGATTTGTGATTCTTATATGTGCATGAATACATGAAATGGGTATAGGTTATTATATATGTTACATAATATGCATAGACATAAGAGCATAAAACATAAGATATATGATATGATATACATGATTATATGCATATGTGATATATGCTATGAGACATGACCAATGTGAAATGAGATAAGCTATGTGATATGATATGAAATACATGGTTACACGTACATGTGGTATGTGACAGAAAATAAAGAACAAGTGATGAGAAATGTATTCATCGTAAATGCCCATAGTATATGATACGAGAGCTATAGGTATAGTTGGCATGCCAAGAGTTGAGGGTATTGTAGTCCTTCGGGACGTAGTGGTCCTACGGGACATATATAACAGTCCTTCCGGACGAATACTGAACAAATGTTCGGTGCCCATGAGGGAATTTATACGAGCTGTGGTGACAGCATTAGTACAAAACCTCAATGTACTCACATACCTTTGTTCTCAACAACAATATACATGGGCA